GAGGCAATTTAAAGTGGTGTGGCTGTCCCATTTTTGAGCACACAGTCCTGCCTCCTTTTCTATTGCTTGTCTGGCTGACTCAGTGAAACTATCTATGGGAAAAGTGACAGGGCATTTCTGCCAGCACTGGGAGGTGATCTGGCTCACCGGGGAAGTAGTGTCAGCGTTGGGTGCAAACAGGAAGCAAATCCATGTAGCTGGAGGCAGTAACTTGCATAAGGGCTAGCAGGACCTTAGCCATCACAATTCACTTTTGTTTTAGCATTCATGAAAAGATTCATAGCATCATTCAGGTTATAAAAGACCCTTAGGATCATTGAGTCCAACCATTAACCTAATACTACCAAATCCACCACTCCACTCTCCCTTAGCACCACATCTTGCACATCTTTTAAACCCCTCCAGGGATGGTAACTCCACCACTTCCCTGAGCAACCTCTTCCAGTGCTTGACCACACTTTCCATAAAGAAATTTTTCCTAATACCCATTCTAAATTTCTCTTGGTGCAACTTGAGGCCATTTCTTCTAGTTCCATTGCTTGTTAATTGAGTGAAGAGACCAACCCCCACCCTGCTACAGCCTCCTTTCCAGTAGTTGTGGACAGCAGTGAGGTCTCCCTTGAGATTCCTTTTCTCCAGGCTAAACAATCCCAGTTTCCTCAGTTACTGCTCCTAACACTTGTGCTCCAGACCCTTCACCAGCTCTGTTGCCCTTCTCTGGACATGCTCCAGCACCTCAATTTTTTCTTGTAGTGAGGGGCCCTGTGAGCAGGGCTTTCACCAGAAGTCTGAATGAAAGCAGCATGCTTTCATCCTCTCCCTGCCTTGGCACATTTCCTGCACCATTCCTTATGCTCTGCAATCAGCAAACCAATCTGGCTAAAGAAAAAAAAAATTTAAAAACTCTTACTTCCAGGATTAGTTTTCAAATGGCAGCAGCATGGTCTGAGATCATACTAGGCTGCCAGTGAAATCCATGACTGCCTCATATCTGGAATCAGAGCATTCACTTCACTGGACAAGAGGCAACTTGAACCAGCAAGGCTGGGATGTTGCTCTTCTGACACAGGCTTGCTCCTCACCTGGGTGGTAGAAGTGGACAAAGGGAAGTACATGGTAGTTTGCAGTAGCTGGGATCCTGATGCATTTCTGCTAAAAAATATTCATTTTCTAGAATGAATAATTTCATTTCATAGAAATTGTTAATTTCTACAAAAATATTTAGCTCCATTTCAACCCTTGGCCATTTTTTCTAACTTGCAATGGATGCAGTCAGAAGTGACACTGAAGAGGGTAAGCTATTTTATCCTGGAAGCTCTCCATGTCCTGAGCTTCCTGGTGACATGACCTAAGAGGGAGAAACACCACACCCCAATGTACATGAAAGAAAAGAGCACCGAGGCGAGAGCAGTGTTGTTAACATTACCTTGAAACAAAGCAGAGGTAATGTTTCCAGGGACAACCTGGAATTATGCATTTGTTGTTCTCTGAGCAAGCCCATTGCCAATAATAATGTAATTTTTTTGTGTGGGAAGCTGTGTCTACTTCCCTTTCGATGCACAGGGAATGTTATCATAGAAAACACACATTTGGCTTTTTAAAACTATTCTACCAGTGCCACTCCTGTAAGACCCCAGTGTGTCTTATACATCTACAAGGAAAGAGACGAATGACTGACTAAATCCAAGAGAAGATTCACATGATACTAAACTGATTTAGAAAGGAAAGATCCAGCAACTTCATACTGGGAAACACACAAATTGAAAAGAAAAATCAAGGTCAAGCATTTAACCACGGTGTGGATCAGTAATTACACCAAAACAACAGGTAACAAAGGGCAGATTTGTCATCTCTTGAAATTTCCATAATGGCTTTTATTTTTCTGGAAAATAAGGCCATAATCTCAATTACAAATATAAAGTCCACATTATGCCGAATGTCACATTCTGAAACTGAACTTGCTTTTAAACCTAAATCCATCAGTATGGCTCAAAAGCTCCCCCTTGAAACAAATCTAAGCTTGTCATTAGTCTTGTTCAATGAACTCAGATAATTACAGTCTGATTTTTTTTTTTTTAGGATAACATCCACAATTCAAAATTCCACCTGGGAACAGGCATCTAAAACCAAGAAACTGGATGAACATCTGTATTTTGGCTGCTACGACTTTGACCAGTAAGACACTTGCATAAATGTAATTTTTTAAGGTGTCTGAAGTGGTTTTATTTTAATGACTCCAGTTGTTGAACAAAGGTATGTTGCCTCCTACCACGGCCATAGTATGTTTTCTTCAGCATTGTCTTTCTTGGAAAGCCTACAAATTCAAGGGAAAGCCTTCAAATAAAAACTAAGGCATTTGGGAAAATAATGACACAGCAATTCTGTGCCAGAAAGGAATGAACCAGGAGGATGACCAGAGACCTCTGTCACTTCTAAACTTCTGTAATGCTTTCATTTCTGAAACAGCCCCGCTTAGAAAAAAATTAAAATGCATTAATTGCTAACAAGACTCTGACAGAGTGATGGCAATTACTGTAAGACATTTGCTGCTTTTGTGTTGTTCGTGAGCGCTGGGGGGTTTTAGAGGCAGCTGTGCCACCGTGCCAGCCTGCTGCAGGGCTGCCCTGGCCCTCCCCGCCCCACGGCCCCCCAGCTCCCCCGTGTTCTCCCGGGCAGCTCACCAAAATGGCAGGAACTTAGCCCAGAGAGGCAATAGTGTTCTGGCTTGGCGAGCTGAACCAGCTCGGCGGGCAGGGAAGAGAGGGCAAGGTCTCCCTCTTCTGACAGCAGCAAGCGGGCGGCTGGGCCGGCCACGACCTCACCCCGGCCTGAGAGCTCCCAGCTCGCCAGGTATCCCTGCCAAATCCTTGCTGAACAACATCAAAAAGTCCATAGAATTATTCTGAGGTTGAATACTGTAAATTGCAGTCTGATTTTTTTATTCAAAAGTGGGAAGATTGATACTCAAATCCTTAAAAGATTAGAAGAAGGATGAGGAAAACTGAGAACACAAATTAAGGTTTTGTGCTTTTGATGGAGACCAGCTCATAACTGGCAGGATAAACACAAAGAATGCAGTCTGGCTATAGCCAGCCCACACAATTTTATGGAAATGTTGTCCAGAGCTAAGAGTTTTGTGTAGCTAAACTTGTTATGGCAGAGTAAGATGAGTCCAATTTATAGCGTGTCAGAAGGCTGCTTGATAATCAACAGAATATTCTGGGTTGGAAGGGACCCATAAGGATCATCAAGTCCAACTCTTATGTGAATGGCCCATACTGGAGACAAACACCAGTATGTTGGCCTTACTAGCACCATGCTCTAACAAAGTGAGCTAATGATTCTTTGTTCAAATTTAAATTAGACATTTGCTTCCATTTTTAGTTATACCTCAAACCTTGTGTTTCAGGTAAATCAAATAACACCTAGCTGATTCAATAGAGATTTGCTTGCATTGATTAACTGGACAATAGAGATGCTGAGACAAACCTAGAAAGACTGTTAAATTCCATTGCTTCTTTTCAGAGGTCATTTTGGAAATCACAAGTAATATGGGCTATTCTGGGTTCCAGACTAGACACAAAAAACAAACAGAGGCAAAGCACATGTTGAGTTGTGGTTTTAATTCTATTTTCATCATAGTTTATATGACTTAGGACTCCAGCAAGCAAACAAGCCAACCATTGAATCCAAAACTCAGCATAGATTTAGTACAGCTCAGCACAGAGAACTTACAATATTGGAATGGTATTCTTCAGTTAAGTAAAAATAAAACTAAAAAATTAGTAGCTGGCAAGGAAGAAAACAAGCCTTTCTCACATTTGTGTATAGTTCAAAGAAATTTAATAGCTAAGGGGTGATATCATACTTTTTCACTCTTGCTCTAATCTACACTGTAAATCAAAACAATTTCATAAGAGGTTAAATTATTAAGAACAGTGGGCCGATGGAAGTGTCATGCAACCAGGAAACCAGGATGACCATAAAAAGAAAATGAGGCTGCTGGTAACCATTATAATGTAAGGCTGAATCACAAATGATAACACCAAAGACCTTTTTCTGTTCCAGTCATAACCCTTGAGAGTTTTGTCTCTTGGGTTTTTTTTCCCTCTTTGAAGGCAGAAGTAGGCCTATAACCATCCCTGTTTCAGTTTCTCTCTTCCCAGCGATGGTTTCTTACAGTCTGTCATTGTCCGTGAGTTTAAACAGAGCACTGCATAAGCTGTATGCATCACATATCTGTCCCCAAGATGTAAAATCCTTCCCTGCGAGAGAACATTTTGGTGCAATCTAATGCAAATGCCGAGCCCAAGGGAAGAAGGACCGATGAGGTATTTCACCAAAATGTTTCTGTAGACTTAAAAATAATTTAGGACTACCAATGGCAAATATCAGTGACCACAGGAGCAAGTTCCTACATTGCTCGCTGTATTAAGAGTATTAACTTCCAAATTAACCCAAAGCGGAGGAGCCGCCCTGGAGCCGGAGCCGCCCCGGCAGGCGCAGCAGCCCTTCCCCGCTCAGGGCAGGAGAGCTCCCGGGTGCCAGAGAGCCCGCCTTTACCGCGGCCACTTTCCCCCTCTGGCGCCCCGGGGCTGGGGGAGGCCGGGCCACAGCGCCCGCAGTCCCCGGCCCCGACACGGCTGCCCCGCTCCGCATGACATCCCTGCGCCAGGGGAGCACCCCCTGCATCCCAGCCCCTCGCCGGCGGGACCCCCTCGGCCCCAGGGCTGGCGCGGTGTCGTCCCCCGGCGCCGCCGCCCGGGCGGGAGCGGGAGCGGTGCCCGGCCCCACCGCCCTGCGGCATGCGGCGGGATCCCGCAGCAGCCCCCCGCCCGCACCCCGCCGACCCGGCGGGAGCCGCTGACAGGTCGCCGCCAGTGGCCCCGGCACCTGCGCTGCGCTCACCGCCCTGAGAGGAGGGGCTGCCGGCCAGACCGCGGCGCGGCGGAGCGGGAGGGAGGGAGGGAGGGAGAGAGGGAGGGAGGCGGCGGCGGCGGCGCACGGCCGGCGGCGGGCGGGCCCCCGGGGGCGGCGGGCGCCCCTCGCCCCGCCGCGGGGCCGGGCGGCCGCGGCGCCACCGACACCTTACTTCCTGCTTCGCTACCCGGGGCCAGACCCATCGCGGCGGAGGGATCCCGCCGCCTCCCGCAGCCTCCTCCCCCTCCTGCTTCTGCTTTTCCCGGCTCCCTGCTGCAAGGAAATTATTTGACAGCGATTTGCTGACACCGGGGATTTTTTTCTTTCTCTTTTTTTTTTTTCTTTCTTTCTTTCTTTCTTTTTGCATCACGGACTCGGCTGTTCGGCGGGCGGGGGAGGCCGTGCCGGAGGTAAGTGCCGGTGCCCGGAGCCTCCCCCGGCGCGGGGCCCCCGCCCCGCTCCGCTCCATGTGCCGCCGCCGCCGGGGTGGGTGCCGGGCAGCGGGGCCGCGCCGGGCCGGGCCGGGCCGGGGGAGTGCGTTTCCTGGCGGAGCGATATTTGTTTACAGGATGGGCGCCGTACTGTAAGTGAAGTAGGACCGAGCCCGGGGCAGCTCCGTAATAAATTAATATCGCGATTTGCTCCCGCCTCGCCGACACCGCCACGAGCCCCGCGCCCGCCCCCCTCCCCCGCCCGCCTGCACTTGTTGCAGACTTCGCGCCAGGTAGGGACAACGCTTCGCAAGTTTCGTTTTTGCAGGAGCCAGGGCTGCGCTGGAAGGAGAGGAGGGGAAAAAAAAAGGGGGGGTGGGGGAGAAAAAAGTTTGCAGCTCGCAGCTGACTTTCGGTCTGCAGCGCCGAGGCCCTGCCCGTTGCCGCCGCCTCCTGCCCGTCCGGGCGCGGGCGGGCGGGGGGCGCTGGGGAGCAGAGGCGGGGAAGGGCGGCTCGGCTCGGCTCGCCGCGGAAGTTCTCCGAGCCGCGCTGCCCGTCACGGCCCCTGACACGAGTGGGCGACCCAAGTGCTACTCCTCCTGTCCTTCGTCCCGCAGCGCGCTCGGTGCCGTCTCGGTGTCAGTGTTGGGAGCGGAGCGGTCCCGGCGCTCGGCTGTGGAGCCCTTCCCGGGCGGCACCGCGTGGGGCGAGCTCGTTGCGGAGGAATGGGGATTTCTCCCTCCACTCCTGCGGGAGGGAAGCGCGCGGCGGGCTGGGCGCTGGAGGGGCGCTCCGGTTTTCTGGCCCGTCAAAATTACGGGGTGGTGAGGAACAAAAACTCGCAGCCAGGTGTTTAAATACCGGAGACGCGATTTGCAAGTGAAATTAATCGGCAGTTAACCAGTTAATAAATGGATAATGCCTATTCATCCTTCTGCTGACTTTACAGAGTGGTTTTCACGTCTGCCTGTCAACTAACCAGGCTTAACTGATCGAGATGTAAACCTAGCCAGGTTATTGCCTTCGTCCAGTAAAATCTGACCCGCACGTGCTGTCCTTGCGCATCAGTGCTGGTCATCATTCAGATAGTTACAGGTGAGGTTCGTACATTCTTACAGACTGACATGATGGCAGTAAAATACGTAGGATGACCTATGGCTTAAATATTTATAGAAAATATTGTGAAGTGTTTAACTGCATGATTAATGTTTTAAGCATATAATCACTGAGGGGGGAGTTTTATGCCTTCGGTAGCTACAATTTTACTGTGGATATGGGAAGAGGAGAGAGTTCAGCTGTTGGGGTTGGCCTGGCTGCTCGGTAGGGCCACTCTGCTGCCTGTACCCATCCTGCTTGGGCCTCTGGCCTGCAGAGCTTTCCTGGGGACCAGGGATTTGTCTGCTGCCATCACTCAGGGTGTAGTGTCATGATGAAGTGACCCATCATTACAATGTCAGCGTGTGCACGAGTTGTTCCTGCATGCGGTACGTGCAGCTGTTTGCTGTCATTGTTTATCTGCTTAGTGGTCTTGGATGTTCAGTTGGATCAGAATGGAGCTATTGCATTAATGAGGTGTATCTATCTAGAAATAACCCATTTTGCTTTATTGCCCACTGAAGCGACAAAATTTAATATGCCCTGGCTGGTACCTTACCTTTTTTCTAAGTGTTGTCGAAGGCACACATATAACAATAGAAGGGCTGCTCCATGCATGCTCTGTGCATGCATACTATCTTGCTTTGCATAAAACAAACAAAGACTTTTTTCCTAGACTTTAGATAAGTGATTTTTCATATGAAGAAAATGTGTTGTATGCATTTTTCTTTCTTCTGTAGAGGATACTCTGATAATCTTTGGAAAAATTAAAGGCTTAAGTATAACCTACTCAAAAAGTTTTGGTGCAAATGAACACTCTAGAACAATCTGTTCTACCATCGATTAGCAGCTCGTGTTTCTAAAGTTGGAGATCTCAGTGAGGACCTGAGCAGCACTGTGGGGTGGGGTCAAACCCGTGTATCTTGAAATGACAAACTCAAATACAAGTAATGCACTTCACTGTGAAACAGAGCCTGAGTGCAAGCTGGAGAACTGGCCTTCTGGTGATACCATAACACCAGAGCTTAATCGTGCTGCTGTGTCAGTATGTGCTGCTGTGGTCATCCCTCCCTGGGGAAGATGGATGAGGCCACAGGTAGCTAGACGGGCATCCTGCCTCCAGTGTTTAGTATCATGGGCCAACATGAGCATAAATAAACCACAGCATGACTAACCTCTCTACCTAACATTGACTCATGTTGTATTTCGATAGACTGAAACAGTCTCCATGCCTAAGCCATTTCATTTTCTCAACCTGTATGTTACTAATGATGACCTGCCTATTGAGAATCCTCCAGTATTCATTAAGACCATAAAGCATTAAGACCTTGTTTAGGTTTGTTTTGCTTCTGGATAGTGCTCAGCTGGCCTAGATAGAAAAAAGGAATTCCTAGATTTTAAACTCAAAACTTGCTTCTCTTCTTCTGGCCATTTTAATTCTTCAGGTGATACAGTGAGGCTTGCAATTATAAACTGTGCTCATAACTTGGCGTCTGGCAGGAAGTGCGAGAAAAATATAAGAGCAGTTCTGTAAAGTGCTGTAGGTTTCCTAAAACAGTAAGTTAATATTTTGCTGTGAATATTTTAATATTTTTTTTTTCATTTGTTCTAATCAAGTGGAGGATATGTCACCTAAAAACTTACTCAGCCAAGTGTTGGAAAAGGCCCTTCTCTCCCTTTGGCAATATTATAATGGGTCAGTGTAAAAAAGAAGGGCCCTGCCTTGTGCCTCCTTAATATGTGTCATAATAACTGTGAGATAAGGCAGTTTCATTTCAGCTTCCTTAGAAATATGTGTTTGTTTTTTGTTTTTTTTTTTAAAAAAGCAAGCAGCATTTGACAAACACAAAATAATGGTTGGTGTGGAAACAATTTGTTTCCTCCCCTTGCATTCTTTTGAGAGCTGCATAGTTCCAATAAAAAATGATCATCAGAATTACCATTTTTCCTGTCCCTGAAATTAACGGATCCTTTTGCCTGCCCTCCACCTGAGAGAAGTAGGCAAAAGCATCTTCAAGTGCACGTGTGAATTCTGCCTGGCGTAGCTGCCACACCCGTGGTTATTCACATAAGGTGAGGAGCACAGGGGGCCACATGGACTTACATGGCACTGCTTCCAAGGGTAGAGTTACCGTGTGTGTAAGTGGGGAGGGACTGGGGGGCGCTGCATTCAAAACTAAAGAAAAAGGAAGGCAGCAAATTCCATATATTTTGCTGTATGTGAAGTTACAAAACCTCTTCTTAACTTGTCCATCTCTGAGAAACCTATTACTGTAATCAGTTGCAGGCCTGTGAGGGGAAATTGGGCCTTCTAAGATAAAGACTAAAATAGCACATTCAAATATATTTTAAGAAAGGCGACTCTTCCTTCAATGAGTAGGTCTGAACCTGTCTCAAAGATCAGTTGCAACAATTTTATTGGGTTGTTTTTTTGTCTTTAACAACTCTTTGCTTGAAACCAAGCGGATTTAAGAGATTCACTGAAATTACTTTTGAGCAGCATGGGTTTAGGCACCAGGTTAACTGTGGAGCTTGTGGGAGTATCTCCTGTTAGATCTGAAATGCCGAGAATCGGCTCTTGCACTGTCATCTCCTTGCTGCTGTCATTGTATGTCCAGGCTGGCCAGGAGGACAAAGTGGGTGACACAGGCCGCCAGCAGCTCATACTGACACTGGTTCTTGTTGGATGTTGGTCTCTGTGGGCAGAAGGAATAGTGTTTTGATAGCAGTTTCTTTTCTCTCTTTCTGGCTTGTCTGTGTCGCTCCATGATGGTGGGGATGTGGGCTCACCTGTACCTGCTCAAAACAGCAGCAGAAAAAAACCCCAAACCGCTGATTTGTGTGGGGTAAAACTGGAAAATGTGCTCAGGCTACAACCTGCTGCCACAGAAACTTGAAGGAAAAGAATTTATGTTACTTTCTTCTTGAGAGGCTAATGGTTTGGGGAACCCAGGACATGCTCTTAAATATATGCCCTATTACTGTGTAATAGTGTTTGATTTTTCTTTTTTTTTTAAAGTTTAAACTCTTTGCATTAGAGTGGGGGTGTTGCAGGGTTTTGGAATACTCCTGGAGCGTTAGTTATATTTTGAGGTTCTGAGTGAAATGAGTCTTGTGGTTTCAGCTTACTCTGTAACAAAGAGTAATGTGTCGCACACAAACAGCCCACCTAAGTTTTCATAATTGACTGGTGATTTGCTCTGGAAAGACCCAAAATCCTGATATGAGACAGAGTCAAAAGGTAGTTGATTTTTTTTTTTTTAAATTCATTTTAGTTTGTCATTCTCCACTTTACAGTTTAAATTTTGTTAGAATTTCAGACAAATCGCTTCTCTTCGGCTTCCCATCCGCTGCTCAGGTGGGCTGTTGTCACTTCCCAGGCACCCGGTGAAAAGTGCCAAGTTTCCACACCCCACTAATGTCTAAAGCAGCCATTCTGGGTCTTGTCACAAATCTTCTCCTGTCTGTTTAGTTCAGCAAGAAAATGGTTTCTGTCTTTCCCCTCCCTCCCCTCATCAACTGCTCATGGTAAGATTTTTTATAGAGCCCGCATTGTGATGTGTCCTTGAAGTGCAGAGCTGCAAGGTTTTGTTTTCATTTGCCATTTTTTCTCTTCATGTTTAAAGTTCATTGCAACTATAGCAAAGCAAGATTGTTGTAGATGGTCTTTTTTGACTCCTTCCCTGCCCCCCGCTTTGTCAAAAATCTCATGTTCAGTAAAAAGCAAAAACTCAGATTCTAAAACTTACTCCAGCTAACCCTGGCATGTAAAGACTGCAAAAATACAGATTGGGAAGGATTGCCCCAGCAAAGCAGGTAGGTGTAAGTTAAATGTTAAATTATCAGCACCTCCTTTTTAAAGGATCCCTGATGGTGAGGTTTTTGTTCACGCCATCTGGCTAGAACAAGGCTTACCAGGACTCTTAAAGGACAGGGGCCATTTGAGGTGCAGAATTTATATCAGGTACTTTCTTTTTAAAGGCTTTTTAAGTGAATGTCAAATCCTAAATAATTTCGTCATCAGACTGTGCAAAAAAAAGTACCCAACACTGCGAAGCAAGTTTAAAACTTGAGAATGGATGAAGTCCTATGCCTTAAAAATAAAAAAAAAAAGTAATTTTTGTCTTTGTTCTACACTCCCTCTTCTTCTTCCCCTCCCCCCCGCCCCCCCCAATTTTCATTGATGGGGAAGTTTCAT